TTAGTAGTGAAGAGGACTCCTAAGTCACTAAGACCAAGCCACAAACTATCCTAACATGGCTGTTGCTTGCAATCTGCCTCAGAATAGAAACATTTTAGAAACATCTAACTATAATGAGCTTTTATAAAGGTATCACCTTTGGTTTTGGAGGTTATCCCAACTCCAAATTTTCCTTTGATTATATCCTTATTTTCATTAAGCAGCTGGACAAGAAGTAACAGATGTTCTTGCATCCAGTTTGGTTTTCTTTTACGTTTGCATGTCTTACTATCAGCCATGATTATTCTACGCTGTTAATTAAAAGGCTGTTTATATGCATATTCACTAATTATGAGAAGCACACATGTAAGAGACTGACAATTTCCTGAACATATACTTGTTTAATTAGTGACACTTAGCCTGCATTTTAAAATCTTTATTTGAATGCGGAAATTAACAGTTTTATTTTTAAACCTTTATTTGAATAAGGCAACATAATATTACGCTCTACAATATTTCTATGAATGAATCTCTGACAGAGACTATCAGCCAATCACTGTGTGCATAGTTAATAAGCATGCTGACATCATCCATAGCAACGAGCTCAACCCCGCCCCCTTACTCTTAGCTTAAAGCTTCTCTCTATTCCTTAGTAAAAGTTAGTCTCAGCAGTTTTGTGAATAGGTTTTAAGAGAAAACACTTAGTTTAAGAGAACTCTTAGTGGTAAGATATAATGTTTTGTGAATGCGGGCCCAGATGTCATACAGCCCTAAATATAAAATGTTCTTACTTGTAGCCTAGAAATAAATCACGTGCATTAACTGTGTGTTTGAATATAAATGTGTCCCATATGACATCTGCATGTGTGAACAGACTCACCGGAGCGGGCGATGCCGCTGTCTCTCTCATCATACAGTCCTCGGCCCGGCATGTCCATGGGGTTACTGTGTCCTGAGAGGAAGCAGAGAAAGTCATGCAAGGACGATTTTAAAGAGCTTGCTTATCCCTACCCACCACCCATCCAGCCATCTTATCAGCACTGTGATCTACCTACACATCAGCACAGACACATGCACACGCAGCAGGCAGGAGAGGGCAAACCGGTGCATTATGGGAGACGGGGTAGAAAGAAACCCTGGGCTTGTCAAAGCTAGAGAGATCACACCAGAACAGATCTACCAGTTACACGTCCTAAAATGCTGTCACAATCAAAGCACTAGCAAACACCTTAAATGCACATGCATAAAACACTAGTGCCACATGCACACTCTCGTGCACACACACACACACACGCCAACCTGAAAAGAAAGAGGCGCTCTTGATGAGACGGAGAGGGCCTTGCTCTGAGAGCGCCCGGCGTGGGCTGCAGAACTGAGAGAAACCTGTACAGTACCGCGATCAGGAGAGCAGGACGACAAATGAAGAGGAAGACACATCCAACTGTTAGTTAAGTACAGGAAGAGACACAGAGATGCTCAAATGTCTGGAATCATTTATATTTTTGAAAGAAGTCTCTTATGTTCACCAAGGCTGCATTTATTGTAATCAAAAATACAGTAAACTAGTAATGTATATATATTTTTAGCATCATTACTCCAGTCTTCAGTGTCACATGACCCTTCAGAAATCATTCTAATATGCTGGTTTGCTGCTCAAGAAACATTTCTGATTATTATCAATGTCAAAAACAGTTAAGCTGCTTCATATTTTAAAAGTCTAGGATAAGTAAAAACAAACAAAAACAAAGGATGCATTAAACTGATCAAAAGTGAAAATTAAGGCATTTATAATGTTGCATTAAAATGCTGTTCTTTTGAACTTTCTATTCACCAAAGAATCTGGAAAATAAAATGCATCACGGTTTCAACCAAAATATGAAGCAGCACAACTGTAAGCATGATATTGTTTTCAATATCATAATAATCAGAAATGTTGTAATGCGAATCAGCATATCAGAATGATTTCTGAAGGATCATGTGACACTGAAGACTGGAGTAATGATGCTGAAAATTCAGCTTTGATCACAGAAATAAATTACAGTTACAATATATAGAAACAGCTACTTAAAAAGAGTAATAATACTTCACAGCATTACGGTTTTACAGTATTTTTTGACCAAATGAATGCAGTCCTGGTGAGTAAAAGAGACTTTTTTAAAAAGCATTTATAAATCGTAATAACTCCACACTTTTGATCAGTAGTGCATCTTAAGCTGTCAGGACGACACAGACAGACAGATGAATGGCAACACCACACAGAAAATTAATATTCAGGCTCAATTCAATAATCTGTGCAGTCAATTCTGTGGGTGAAACAATTCTGAAAACTGGACTCAATATACATGATAGTTAGGTAACGCTCAAAAAACATGTGCGGGTCATGGTTCAGCCTAAAAACAAAAATGACATTTTGCATAAAAAGAAATCAAGCCTATATTTAGGATCATTAGGATTTGTTGTACTGAACTTTATGTTCATGACAACTAATCAGATTTTCTTTCTCATTACTGTAATGTTTCAGGACATTTGGCTGGATAATAAATGACAGCACCATGAGCTAACCAAAGGATACAAGTGCTATTTTTGTCTTTTTCACATTTTTTGTTCAAAAACTTCATGTTGTGGACTGTACTATAAACTAGTGTCAACTATACTGAACTGTAGTGGTAATGGTGATTATAGCATGAAGGTAACTCAAGAGTTCATTGTATCTGTGTGACCGGCTGATAAATGAGGCTTTTACTTTTCACTTCTGATTCGGTCTCTGCAGTTTTAATCACATTATTGTGTCACTTATTTTTTCTTTAACCCTCTAATGCATGATGTCCACTATAATGGCCAGTTCTTTAAACTTTTTTTTTTTCAACATTTCAAATTGCAATGTTACATCCTTACCCATAATTGTATATCACTGTCCTGTTTTGCTGCATTTATTTATGACATCAAGTAGCACTAAAATATTTACTACTATTTTCTATTGCATTAGCTCTCAAGCGACATCATTTTGGTGTAATATAAGACAAAACAGCTTAATTTAATATAAAAAAAAAAATACTCTATTTATTTATTCATATCAAAAACAACATGATTTTGGGGAGAGAAAACTTGGACAATGACCTGGACATGTTCTCAATGAGTCCTCAAAACAAACACATAGCTTAATGTTAAAACAGTGACGATGTGACGATTTCATAGAAAACTTGCGCACAATGGAGAAGGACAGACACAGAAGAAAACTTGGAAAAGCACTGAGATTATAAAACAATGTAACAAATGTTTTTGCCAGCTGAAACAGCAAATGTCGTTAAAGGAACAATTTGGCGATTGAAACTGTATTGACAGTGTATGTGGAGTAAGTTCAGGCTGAGGCACGGAGGATCTTGCGTTACCTATGCTGCCCAGGAAGCCGTTGGCGGCGGTGTTCTGCTCGGGCCGCAGCGCGCCGGAGTCCTGATTGATGAACTCTAAACTGTCCTGCAGTCTGTCAAGTAATCAAGAGGTGCAATGAGGCAACGGACCACAGCGAATGTACCGCTGAACGTGTGTCTGTGTGAGAGAGAGAGCGAGAGCGAGCGAGAGAGAGTGTGTGTGTGTGTGTGTGTGTGTGTGTGGCTTACGTGTTCAGGCTGCCGTAGACGCTTCCGCCCGTTCTCGCTGTAAACACTTTACTGAGCATCAGCTGTGGAGGAGATCTGGGAACAAACACACACACTTGATCAGCACAGACTGCTCATCACACACACCATCAGCTTGACATCCGTACGCTCTCACCTTATCTGGTGGATCTTCAGCGTTGAGCCTTTGTAGCTCATGGCCACCGAGCCGAACATCATTTCTCCGAGCATGTTAGCGTCTGATAAGCACTGTGAGGAGCCCTGATACAACGAAAGAAAGAGCAAAGCACACAGGTTTGAATCTGCAGGAGCAGCACAAAGGGGTGTGTGATATGTATCTTATCCAATGATACAGTAATTGTTGTTTTAACGATGTGAGAGCTGACTTTGATGAGCGTCACTGAGTTTGCACAAACCAAACAAAAGCACGTCTTGAGAGCATGCTTTCACTGAATGATCTGAAATTCAAGATATGAGGGCAAAAAATACTCCGTAGGAGTTATTATTTTATATTTCTATATGATATAGTTTAGCAATATCACGTGAACAGGAGTTCTGTTTTTTCTTAATATTATCACTATCGCAAATGGTATTGATTTTATGCAGCAGTTCAATAACATCAAGTTAATATTAAGTGATTTATATTTTAGACACACTATTGTCAATCTGTTTTTGATAAAGAAAATTGTACAATTTTTACAGTTTTTATTTATTAACCATCTAATTAAAGAAAGTTCAATTCCAAGTGCAGCACACATGAAGTTGTTAACATGGTCTAAATGTAAAGCAAATCACTTGATAAATATACTTGCAGAAAAGATGCATGAAATATGAAAGCACATATTGTACAAACTTGTCTTAAACATATATGTTCAGAAATATGAAAAACGCTTTTAAAAACTCAAAAGTCAAGGAAATTCAATTTCAAAATGGCTAAAAGTATAACACTAGTAGACTATTATTAAATGTTTTGAATAAACAATTTAACAGCAGCTTGTCTGTCACCATCATGCAAACATGAAATATCAGACACACAGTAGCAGCTCTTTATAGGTTTTTTATCACACTGAGCACCAAGCAGGATCATTCTTTTCTCTTAACTGTTATAATTTGCATATTGTCAACATGTCTAATTCTAACATTTGGTAATATTTCTATTAAAAAATCAAGATTTCTCGATTTATAATTTTTTTTTTTTAAATAACAGTGGAAAAGCATTAAATTAGAATTAATCGATAAAATCGGAAGAATTGCCCAGGTTAAATAAAAGACTCAATGACTCGCTCTTTAAAACGGTGAACTGACGCCACCTACTGGCAGTTTTAATTTCATATTTAACATTTTAATATTCAAAATGTTAATTTTAATACATGAATCTCAAAGTATTTTTGTATTTGCTGTGTAAATAGATCTAAATGCTTCAGATGCAGCTTGCAAAAATGGATTTTGTTGATACTGATTTTATTTGACTGTCTATAGCGTCTCATTTGAACTAAATTTATTAGTTAAAATGTAAGAATCTGAAAAAAAAAAACCTGCAACAAAATTTGCATTCAAATTAAGGTGGAAAATGTTGGCCCTTAATGAAACGGTTCATTTCTGTGAACTGACCACTGCACAGAATATGTGACCCTGGACGACAAAACCAGTCATAAGTAGCACAGGTTATTAAATTATAATATAGAACTATATGTGACCCTAGAGCACAAAACCAGTCGCTGGGGTATATTTGTAACAATAGCCAAAACATTGTATGGGTCAAAATTATAAATTTTTATTTTATGCCAAAAATCATTAGTATAATAAGTAACGATCATGTTCCATGAAGACATTTTGTAAATATATCAAAACTTCATTTTTGATTAGTAATATGCATTGTTAAGAACTTCATTTGGACAACTTTAAAGGTGATTTTCTCAATATTTAGATTTTTTTGCACCCTCAGATTCCAGATTTTCAAATAGCCAAATATTGTCCTATCCTAACAAACCACACATCAATGGAAAGCTTATTTATTCAGCTTTCAGATGATGTATAAATCTCAATTTTGAAAAATTGACACTTAAGACTGGTTTTGTGGTTCAGGGTCACAAATGAAGAATATGCAGAGAGAGAGCGAAGGCTTGTGACGGGACTCACCTGGAAGCGGTTTTGTTCTTTGGGCTCGGAGGCACAGGACGAGCTGCTGTCCAGTGAACTGGAGCTGCCACCCGTAGGCCTCAGCTGACAACACTTCCCAAACATCTTCGCCTGTGCCTCTCCACACACCCTCTGCAAACAACACACGGACAAACTCAACAACCCAGCGCAGTCACTAAACCTGAGAAACACACCGGTTCGTCAAGACCCACATTCTGCAAAAAAGACATTTCAGGTGTATGATTGTCTGGAGTGTGAATGCAGCAGCACACAAAAGCGAATGCTGTTTTAAACAGTTAATGTTGAATCAATTGTCACAGATCATTATTTAAAGGTGCGAGGGGGAGAGTCTGGATTGAATGATGAGACATGACCGCAAAGCAAATAAACATGCAAAAAGAAACAGCGAGACCAGTTTAATACGATTCACAATCAGATGACTCTTGAGTCGTACTTTAAATGAATCATTCAAAACGACTCTCAAACGCAGATTAGTCAGTCTGATTACTCATTCACTGAATCCAGAGCAGTTCCTTAATTAGTTCACTCATGAATGAATAATCTGTCGCACCTTCACGTCAATCCAAACACATTTAACACACTAAATGTTTTATTTTCATTTTTTAGTTTAGTGAATTTAACATTTGCTTTAACAGCATTATTTTTGTTTTTAGATTGTAATGTTACAATGTTAGAATGCAATGTGATTTTAACCCTTTTTTGCACAATATATAGCTTAGCCTACATGGTTACATTCACTATATGTCTTAATTCGCTTGGGTATATTTGTAGCAATAGCCAAAAATACATTGTATGGGTCAAAATTATCGATTTTTCTTTTATGCCAAAAATCATTAGGATATTAAATAAAGATCATGTTCCATGAACATGATGATATTTTGTAAATTTCCTACCGTAAATATATAAAAACTTAATTTTTGATTAGTATTGCTAAGAACTTCATTTGGACAACTTTAAAGGTGATTTTCTCAATATTTTGATTTTTTTTTGCACCCTCAGATTACAGATTTTCAAATAGTTGTATCTCAGCCAAATATTGTCCTATCCTAACAAACCATACATCAATGGAAATGATATCTTATTTATTAAAAAAATTTACACTTAAGACTGGTTTTGTGGTCCAGAGTCACTATATTTGTTTTCATAGCCTTTAATTTGAATGAACATCGTTTCATTGGACAACGTTGGACAGGATGTGATTTTTTTCCCCCTCACATAAATATTTTTTTTCAATCCAAACAGAAAAAGTAGAATATAGAGATATACACCGTATACAACACAATTCAGCCAAAAAATATCAAGATATGTATTCTTATTTGGCAATACTGCCCAGCCCTAGTCTTTGAACATTTAGAAATTTTAGTTTTGTTTGACTTAACAGAGACGTGAATCTCTAAACAGCCAAGCGTGCACATAAACCCTTTTTTTTTTTGCATGCCGTTTAACTTCAACCCTTGTTGCGAGTCAATAAAGAGCGAATCCCTTCATATCTCTGTGAGGTGTTACAGGAGACGTCCAGCACTCGTCCAGATGAGGGAAAGGCCTGAGTTAATGAGTGTTTTGGCTGTGCGTGCCAGGCTCAGTGTCTCTAATGGCTCATGCGGAGTCTCGTCCTGCTTTGTGAAGAGCACAAAGGAACTCGAGCATGTGAGACTGTCATATGACTTCCTTAACAACTCGTGAGCAGGACCGTTTGCTTACTCGCTCTCTTCTGCTCTCAGTCAATGACTCTCTGTCTCTCTCTCTCTCTCTCTGGTGAAACAATATCCTCTGCCAAAAGCGTCATGTGATTGCAGCCTCAGCTCGGCTCCATATCAGCGATCTCCAGAGCCTCACCCGAACACACTAGACAGGCTGTTTATTATTCATCTGGCTGCACTGCGCAACAGCAGCAGCTTGAACCTGCAGTATACGTCAATGAACCTGCAGCGGATTTTAAGGAGCATGCTTTACGTTTAGGAAGGTTTTTAATCGTCACCCAACCACAGCAATATTTTTATTGTTCAGCGGGTTTCAGGTCAAAGCCATACTGAACTGACTGATAAATATCAAATGTTAAGCCACTGAATGAATGATCCAGGGCTTACTTATTTATAATGTTGCACCATTTGGAACAATCAGTAATGACACTGACTTAAATTTCATGGCGCTTTAGTCAGGGTTTCTACAGGTTTTATGAAGGTAAATTTAAGACTTAAAGACAAAATGCGTGGAATAAATTGAACCGAACACAATAAATCATTGTGTTCTTAATGAGTTATATTAGCAACACTTCAGAGTTTAAACATTACATTTCCAACTGATTTCCATTACTTTTTAATGCATTAAAAAAGGAGAAATTGAGAAAGAGATTCATTTTTACATTTAATACCAAAACTTGACTTTCTGCTCTGATTTAAAATCTTTTAAGGTCTTAATTTGTGGAAGGCTAAATTAAGATCCGCAGAAATCCTGTTTGGTGCACAAAACATTTTGGAACAGTCATCAATTTTGCAACATCAACTCTCTTCATGAGCTGAATTACTTAATATTTTCTCTCATCACATTCAGTCCAGACTGATTGGGGAAACACAGATTAGAATTCCCTTCATATTTCACATCGCAGTCAGATGATAAGAGCAGGTGTGGAAAATGTTGGTTTCTTTGGTGAACCGGCTTTTGCACTGCACCTCATGACAGCTAATGACAAACAACTGGCAGACGTGACAGAGAGCTCGACACGCCTTCAGTCATGTGAATGTGAAAGAATGCTTACACACTCAGAGTCAGCTGATGCTATTATTACTGGAGATAAGGCCTCTGGTTCTCACAGCACTCACCGTGACCGGGGCCTCTTCCGTGCTTCTCTTTCTGGCGTCCGAGTCGAAGAGGACGTTCCTGCCGCGCCGCTCGCAGTCCTGGTAGACGATGAGACGGATCTGGCTGGACTCCAGCTCCGGTGACGACCAGCTGAGGGACAGAGACACGAACATGCAACAATTCGTCTCCTCCGCATCACCCTATAGCGCCATTTTGGAGAGTATCACATACGTAAACAACGCATGCGATGTATATACGTGGATACGTTGTTTACAAGGTTTATGCTTTGATCTGAACATAAACAATGTATTCACGTACATACATTGCATGCGTTGTTTACGTATGTGATACTCTCCAAAATGGCGCTATAGGGTGACGCGGAGGAGACGAATTGTTGAATTAAGTCGTTATTTTTGTTTTCTTTGCACACAAAAAGTATTCTTGTAGCGTCGTACATGGATTATTTTAACTATCTCCTTGCTACGTTTCTGAGTCTTGATTGTGTTAATTACATTGCTGTCTATGGGAGGGTCAGAGAGTTCTCAGAATGCATCAAAAATATCTTAATTTGTGTTCCGAAGATGAACGAAAGTGTTACGGGTTTGGAACGACATGAGGGTGAGTAATTAATGACAGAATTTTCATTTTTGGGTGAACTATCCCTTTAA